TAACACGAAGCGTTACAGGAGAGTCACGGGGACGCGGGAGGGATTTTATTCGGTAGGGATATGCCCGGCCGCGTGTAGGTGTGGGTTAAATTATTCGCGGTACGGCTAGTATATGCAAATGAGAGGGAGGGGGGGAGGAGAAAGAGGGTGCTACCCGAGGCGCCGTCGCTGGATCGCAGGACGAGACGTAGAATATGCAAAATTTCTCTTATTAGAGTTGCCGTGTCTCCTGTCTCCTCTCGGTCGTCCTAACCCCCCCCCTCCCCCCTCACCCACCTCAGCGAGAGAAAGACCCTTTCTCGTCCGGTACGTCAGTATCTCGTTGTCTCGTTCCCACCAGCCGGCCGTCTCTCGGTGTCCATCAGTGCCGCCCCCCCCCTCACGCTTATCCCGTTTCTACCCTTTCCGGTGCCGCCGCGGCCGAAGGTACGACGGCCGCGGCGAGTTCAGCTCGAGCCAGAGCCGACTGTCCACCTCACGTTCCATAACTAACGCGGCTAAATTTCTCATAGGCGACACAGGGGGGGAGGGAGAGGATACTACTCACTTGCAGTGCAGCAGGGTCCGCGTGCAGTCGCTCGTCCATTGGATTTGAGTGGACGTAATGCCCGGCTGGCCCGGCCATTCTTTCACCCACCTGTCGCGTTTCGCGAGCATTTTTCGCAGCGCTGTCCGACACTGCCTCAACACTTCGCGCAGAGTCACCCTCATTGCGGCCTCTGCAATTGCCACCCGCGTTTTATTCACGCTCACTTCCCGCCGCGCGCGTTTTTACCACCGTTTTTCCCCCTCCGACCTTCCGCAACCACCCCGCGCTATTTCGTTCGCGCATTTTTATCTCTCGCAAACAGAAATCGAAGTCGCATGCTACCTCGCGCTGGAGTAATTTACGAGCGCGCGAGGGCCACGTCGGGATTGAGCATAAATTATGGTCAATTTTCTGCGCCGGCTTTTATTTACACACAGCGACCGAACGTGCGCCATTGTAAACGCTACTCAACCGCGCCGAGCGCACCGCGGGATATTGTAAATATTTGATGAGCTCGTGTTCACACGTCGCTGATCTTTCTTCTAGTTTTCCCTGCGACGTGCATGCGAAAGAAGTTTGTCGCTTTCATATTTCAAATGGCGGAGCGCCATTTTCGATTTTGCAAAAAGCGATTTATGATCTTATAAATTCTCGCGTATGTATATTTCAACGTGTATCCGTGCACGCGTGTAGATTTCGAAGATAACAGGAAGTAGGATTTATAGGGATAATACTTAAACTCGCGGAATAGTAACGACTGGGCGTTATAGAAGAATATCAGACTTCGTGATTATATCGACGTGGCTTCGTGTATGACACTTCACGTTTTCTTCAATAAAGCATCATTTGATTATTCATAAAAAATTATTTTAATGAAGCAAACTCACCGGTATTGCGCAGCCAATGTTCGACTTGACCCTCCAAGTAAATCGGATCGACGAATTCAATGTATTCATCGTCGTTGGAATACATGCCATAAACTATATGTTTTCCAATCACCGACTTAAAAAGAAATGTTAACAATCTCGAGACAATGCGTTCATGTGGAAAAAAGAGCGACAAGAAAGCAAAATAAGATACCTTGCTGAGCTTCAACGACTTGATGTTCGCGAAGAGTTTCCTTATGTGCGGCTGTATGAGGTCCGGTCGTTTAGAGTGTGCTAGGATCTCCAGCAGATCGTCGTTCGAGATGAAGTAGAGCCTCGGGAATACGCGTCTCTTGGTCTCTAGGTATTGCTCAAGCGCTTGCTGCAACGCCTCCAACTTGTCATCGAGTTTGTTCAGGATTTCCAGCAAGCCAGCTAACAGGATCGTCGGGATGGAGAGTGGGGAAAAAAATGCAAATGTTCTCAATGGAATAGATTTACATTATTTTACAGTACGCGTACGCGTCGGCTCGTCGCTCGATCTTTTATCCTCGTTTTTTACTCATTTTCTTTTTTTAGCACCGGTAGCCGACAGGCGGTTTGTACGTATCCATTTACATTAATACCCGGACTTGCTCCTAGCTTAAATAATTTTACTCCTAGTTTAACGCTCGGTGCGATCGCGTACAATAATGGTTTAACAATTTTTCATTACTTAATTATATTTCGCAAATGTGCTTGTTCAACACATTTTATCTCGAAAACGTCACATTAAATCTGCACAAAAAATCTAAAAAAATTCTCCTTTTTTCTTGTTTACAATTATAAGATGTCATTAATGTTTCAAAAATATTTTCTTTAAATTTTATATAGAATATTTTTAATTATTTTGAAGAGTTAGATTACATCGTATACTGTTATTAAGTTTTTATTAATATTAATGCAGAAAAATACTTAATATCTGTGCGAATTCTGTTAATAGTTAGCTAAACGGATTTTGTAGAATATTTCCTTTATAATAGCGTTTTGATGATACATACGCGGATCGTGAGTGGCGGACAATGCCAAGCCATGGGAAGCCATCCTTGACGTAAGCTCAGCCAACATGATTGTGATTTTATCATAATCGTCCGTCTCCTTTGGGAGCTGTTTTCTGATGTCCTCGCTGGTGAATATATTGTCCATATATATGTATTTCCTCTGTACTACCAGCACCATTTCCAAAACTTCGCCGATCGTCGACAGTGTTCGTTCCCAGTAGTCGACTTGCTGCGCAAATGGTTCTACGAATCTAGGAAAATTCAATATAAACTGCTTAATTTCGTATCGTTAGAAATGTAAACAGGAAAATTAGTTTAGCAAACGCAATGCACCTCGTTGACTTCATAGACGAGAGCTGCACCTGATGATCCTCCAAAGTTTGCATGAGGTCGTCTATAGCTTTCAATCTGTATATTCCTTTATCTTTGTACGGAAGCATCGTAATCGATATCGTTTCCCAAGTATCTTTAATATGTTGAAGTCCCTAAATTATTTCGTATTTTAAATCAGTGCCAGTTTTCATAAAATTGCTGTGCAATTAATATATTGCATGATTCGATTATTTCATTGCCATTATTCAAATTACAATTTCAATAGCCAGCTCCATCGTGGCCGCATGAGAGATTTCACTGATCTTCTCCGCAAAATTATGCATTTGCATTTTAGCAATCGCGTCCAAAGTAAAGTTCTCCGACATCTCATCGAAGTCTCGATCAATTGTATCTTTCACTCGCTTCCAATGCCTCGGCTTTATCGCCGGATTCTTCAGTTCCGTTATCAGCGGTAATGTACGTCGAAATTTATCAACCTTCGATCTGTGATTATTTATTATTTTAACATAATCCTTTAGTCTAATTGCATTAATGTTAATATTATTTGCTTATGTACGCAAAGAATTTACAAAAAGTTCGATAGGGATTAAAATATATAAAAATATATAATTTTTGATCTTTAAAATTTATATATTATAAAAATATGAATACTTTTTCTCTTCTTATATTGAACAAAGTTCTTCATCATTTGCTTTTGGTTAGTAAAATAACTTGAATTATAGCTACCGGCAAGCTACACAGCCATTTACAGAACGTGTACTTCGTTAGTTCTAGAAAGTATCGTCGAAAGGAGTGGCACAAGTATGCTTGGTAGTTCACGTAAGCCGCGCGCTTTAGCGGTGCAAAGGTTAATAAGCGCCGGTGTGTAACATGTGGGATTAAGCGTATTCTGTCCCCTTTGCATTATTTCTTGCGAACTACTGCGCCAGTCTAAGCGCACGCCGTTCGAGCAAAAAAAGGAGAAGACGGAAAGGCGTGATTATTTTTATCAGCGTTGTTTAGCCGCCATATGCGCATTTCCCAAATCGATGGAACCTTTTTTTTATCGCCCCCCGAGCCATATGTCGCCGAATGCTGGTAGCGAAAAAGTTAATCCACTCCATACAATGTTCGATATTCGTTGCAACCAACGTACGTTTCAATCATCAACAATTACTGTCGATTACTGTTCCCGCGCGCGCGATCTCTCTCATCTTGCTGTCGTTTTTTGAAAAATGGCTATCAATCGTACGGGCGCAGTTTATACGGTCGACCGGTTTCTAGTTTTCGCGAACGATTGACATCCAGCTAAAGGATGACCCGTGCAAACACACTGCTTTATACTTGGTGAAAAATACACAAAAACGGCATATATTTATCGCGCGCACGAAATTGGATTACAACTAGGTCGCACCTGCTATTCTCGACGATCTCCCAATTCTTTTCCTTGAGCTCCCTGCAGAGTTTCGTGAGTTTCCGGAGGAGGAGATTAGCGGTTGTGTCCATCTCTTCAATTTCTATCGTCCAGAAATTTCCGGTTTTGTAGCGTTCCCAGGCGTCGTTCCATTCGTCCGTCAATTGCCACACCAATTCGATCACAGCTACATCCTTGGCGAGTAGAAAACGTGTTGGGAAGTCGAATAAACACGTAACGTCGTACGAGGACGGGATATACGAGTGACATTTACTTTATCAAGTTGCGCGAGCTCTCGTGAATCCGGATAACTTATGCCAAAAAATGTCAACTGTGATTTTAATAAGCTTTCTCTGTCTCTCAGAGAATGAATCTCCCTCCAGAAATTGGCTAGCCAACTCAAAGCTTCTGTAACGTGATATTAGAATAATTGTACCATAAATATTAAAATAAGATAATGTCCTGAATGAATAATGCATGATTAAAATTAATCTATTTTTTTTTTTTGCGGCAAATTACTGCATTAATCATTTAACGTTTGTGCTCAGGCATAACATGTACGGGCTTGCCATAACGCTGCTCGTGAGTTTACATAGCTAAAGTGCACATGAAAAAAAGCTGGTTCAGTATCGACAAACGCATTTAAAACAGTTGCATGCAGTGCAAAAACGTGCTATGAATACATAGCGCGCTTGTAATTTACAGTAGTAAAAGCTATTGTTAGAATATACATATATATATATATATATATATATATATATATATAAAATTGAAAGAAAGATTTAGAATAGAAATAAATGTATATATTTATTTTAATAAATATATATATTTGGTTCTATTCTAAATCTTTTTTTCAATTTTTGAAACAGGCAATATTGTTATTTAATGAATACTTTGTTAAAATTTAATCTATTAATTGACAAAAGTTAGTTTTTTAATGAAGAGAATGAAAAATTCTCATAATACTCTTCTCTAATATTCTATACATTTCACGCTTTAAACTTTTTCCTCTTAATGTCTTCTCATTCAGTTTATAAATTGCGAGACAGTGTTGACACTTAAAATCGCGAATGTTATTTTATCTCATTCATTGTTACGCAAATCCATTTATACATTTATATACATTTATATACATTGTGAGATACAGCTTAACGCAAGATGTACGTTTACGTCTCGAGGGGAGTGCTCGAAAAGATACGGTAGTTGATTTATGTAGCGACTTGGTGTTATCTCACAATGAACGCGGATTTACACATTGGATGAGAACATGTAAACCAATTTACCCTTTGAATTCCAGTCAGACGTGAAGGGCCCGGTATCATTAAATCTGCGCACCAAGGAGAATGCATCCTCTCGCAACATCGCCACGTTAGTCAGTAATATTTGCTTAAATTCTTCCTGCAATTATATTAAAACAATTGTTAGTTTAGGTTAGTTTAGCTAAAAAATAAAAGTATTAGTACGTAGTTATTTACTGCATAAAACGTTGAATCTTTGTCTCTATCTTAAAATTGTCAGTAAATAAGTAGCAAACATATTTGCTTTTATCATTTTCATATGTAACTCTGTAAATGCTTCAGTCGCATTATGCAAAATTAATTTTCTAGATTGTACAAAAATTCCTCAGACCCGGTGAAGCAGCGTCAAAATTATAAAGAGATTAATTGACATCACATTTTCCTCTTAGTTAGCGTCGACGCCGACGTCGACGCGACTCAATTTTTTATTACAGAGTTTCTAGAAGTTTTCTTTTATGCCGAGGGAATATCGTACTTCTTTTTCGAGCAGAGTAACTTCGCACGTAGCAAGTAACTCCAAGTAAGCTGCCCAAGAACGGTCGATATCTTTCAATTTTCTCCTGAATTCGAAAGTCAGCGGCACTTCGTATTTTCCTGAAAATAATTAAGCACATCATTTCATGATGAGTCATTCATAATTTCTTTTATACGAGCATAAATGGATTAAAATAATGAATATCCGTGCAGAGTTCGAGCTGTAACTAAAGTTGACATATAACGCGGCGCAACTCTCAAAATCCGTAAATTAAAGTTCATATTTCCTGCAAAGCGGCTATGCATTTGCAAAATTCGCAGATTGTATTGCAGACTCTTGAGCAACGCTGCTAGTACATTGGATCTTAGAGTAAACTCCGTCGATTGTACGGCGCATCGACCTCTCCTTATTTAGCACGGAGAAACATTTAGAGGTTTACCCAAAGTTTGGCACTGTTCCTGGATCTTGGGGAACTCTTCCTCCTCTTTCGGAATCTCGGCGGTGAGCCTCTCGAACAATTGCAACGCGGATTGCATGCTGATGAGATCCGTCGGTTCCTTCGTTATTCTGCAAACGAATGAATTCACGTACGATTCAGTTCGAAATTCAAAAAGGCCCGGCGACGGGATTTATGGGAGTGACGCCTCGCGAGCAACGCCTCTCCAATGTTCCGCTCGACTTGAGGAAATTTACATTAATAGTATCGATCGAAAACTGAAAACGAATATAACTGAAAGATTCAATTATGCTATAGAGCAGAATAGATGATCACACGGGCGCTCTAGAGAACCTTTAGCACAGTAATGAGCGTAAAAATGATTTACGAACTGCGAACGTGGTCAATTTTTTTTCGAATTAAAGAAAAAAGTGAAAAATTTCATCGTTTTTTTAAAATACAGTTTTGTACAATGAATATTTAAACGCAAATATTATTAACAATTTACGTTTAATTCATTGTAAAAAACGACTATATGCGATTAAACATTTTGATCCATTTTACTATTTTAGAAACAAACTATCTATCAAATGCAGATACAGGGATAAAAATTCGAGAGTTAAAACGTTTTTTTGTAATCCTCTTTTTACATCAAATTTTTTCCCCAATTCTAAACGCAATCTCTTCTTTTTATTTTGAATCATGTCCATGCGGACAACTAACTTTGCGGAATTTTCAGCGATGTAATGATAAACGTGATCGACCATTGCATCGGTCATGCGTAATAAAAGCGTGGTAAGCTTCTGCTGCCAGATTGAACAGTGCTCGATGATGGTGGCTTTCAATCCATCAGAATTTATATCCAGGAAATGCACTGTTGTCATCGTTTCCTGTAGTTGGACGCTATCTACCACATCCAGATATTTACTTATGTCCGTTTCGAAAGATGCCGCTGTTGGTTTCAATTTTTCATATCTAATTTACAAAATAAACAATAAGCCACACGTTACAAAAAAGCTAAAATATATGAATATTTTTATATGTATAAAAATCAGAAGATGGAAGATTATTGATTAAATATGGATAATGTAGGCTTTTTTTAATGTTGCAAAAGATTATTTTAATTACGATATTACTTTTTAATTAATTCTTTGTATTACCTTTGGATGAACAGGTCTTTATTCACCTCCCATATATCTTTATAAGGTTCCCAAGTCTTGAGATAATATTGCACTTGAGCAAAACAGTAGCTTACTTCTGCAAGTTGATAAATTAATATTGAATATGCCCATTCCAATAATATAACAAGAAGATAGAAGCAATTTTAAATGAAAATCGATAAGTTAATATCAAATTAAGGAAAATATTAAAGTATGCTTATTAAATTGAAAGAAATTAAATTAAAATAGCATTAAAATGAAAATTTTAGCCACATTGTGAATGATTTCCAATATAGAGGATAATTTTAAATTATTAGCAATGTCTATTAATTTAAATCGTTTGGGATTATCTATTAGATTACATATTGATTATTGAAATAAAAGATAAAAAAGTCAAAAAGTATCATATTTTTTATATAAAATAGCGCAGAATTTGCTATGCGAATGGTATATATAAATATAATAATATTTAGTGAAATAAAATAAAAATGATCGATGCCACTATTGCCAGGCAGAATATATCAATTATAATGTAGCAAAATAAATGGAAAACAGAACAATACGGAAAGTTGTATAGGAAGCAGTATGATACGACCATTATTGAGCTTCTGTTGGAGTTCGATCAGTTCTGGGTCTTCCTTGTACAATTTCAAAAAGGAAAGACTCTCATCTTGAAGCATTTTAAACTTCTTAACTAGCTGTGAGACATCTTTCAACGGCTCCAGCAAAATGTTCGAAATATTTCCTATTACTATAGCTATCTCCAAGAGACTTGGCATTAAGGTTATCTAGATAAATCAATAAACTCTACTTAGAATTTATATTACTGTACTTTTGTTTTATAAATCTTTTTGATGACTTTTTTGTCAAGTTATTGCTATCAATTTACACGAGAACCTCGTCTCTTGTTGTTCAACAGTGTACACGTAATACTTTGGCATAGTATGTTATACATGTTACGCATAGTTACGAACATACTTTGTTATCGATAATATCTGCTTGCACTAATAGAAGAGGTGAAGGTCCTGTCATGCCCGTGCCATGAAGTGCTTCGAACATGATGGTCAAAGAACTTTTCAAACATAATCTAATGGCTTCCTCGATTATTCTATCGATTTTCATTAAATAGTCTCTCCACTCTTCGTGACTCTAAGAAAGAGAATGTATAAAGAAATTATATATATAGTGATATAAAATGGAATCGTAGAACATATAACTAAAAGATATAATCATTTTTATACAAAATGAGAGATTGTTAAATTTATGTAGCAATAAACGAAAACAGTCGTGCATAAAAATTATCTTTAACATGAAATAAACTAGAATAGCCGTATGCGCGAGTTAAAAAATTTATAATAAGGTCATCAATCCTAAACGCGTTAAAGTTGGTAAAGAAAATTTATTTTATAGTAGATCGTTTGTTAAACATTAAAACTTGAAACTTTTATTGAAACTTTTTGCATAGAATTAGAAGAGTTTTTTTTTATCATATTAATGCTTATTTAAGAAATGTAATATTCGATATACATCTCGTATTTATCAGTTTATTTTTGTTCAGTTGATCTAACGATATTAACTTAGCCAATTTATTATTAATAAATTATAATGAATTGGATGCACGATAAGGGGTCAGTAGCGTTATTCGAGAAAGTGCCCGCTTACAGCCAAATTGCGACTTTTCGAGACTTTTTGAATTAACCGAGAAAGCACGTGCCCGTAGTTGCAGTCACGTTACGCAGCGACATATCATAACATGAATCTGCCGTAAGTACGCCCTTACTTCTCCAACTTTAGTTACTCGAGAATTGCTTTGCGTAGCCTGCGGATGCGCAACATGCAACCATCTCTCCGCCGCGAATATTCTTTCGTCAAAGTTATTTGGTCATTTTCACGTTTGCGTAGACTTTGCAAGAAAATTTCCAACACATCAAAAAATTTGCTGTAGGTTAACAAAAACCCTTGCGGCACTTTATTAAAGTTTAGAGAAAATATTAAAATATTAAACAATTTTTTGCAATTCTTTTAAAACTTAACTTAAATGAAAAGTTTGTCCAAAACATGTCTGTTATCACGCAGACAGTGAAATGCACAGAAAAACTTAAAAACAAGTCCGACTTATAATAATAGTATTGTATATGCAAAGTAATTTTCTCATATAAATATAGAAATAAAGTAAACACGTCATACGTTATAAATTGTCTCAATATTTCTATAATTTAGGCGTACCTGTATGTAGTCAAATTTAATTATTTAGATTTTTCAAATAAGTATTTTATAAAATAAAAACTTCTAATTTTATGTAAAAAGTTTTAATAAAAGTTAAGACTTTTAAAATACAATTTGAATTACGCCAAGTTGTATTAAGGAAATTATACCTCCTCCATCACATGCCTGAAGCCCTCATAGATCTCCATGATGTATAGAAATACCATGTCGAGTCTTTGTGTCACAGCCTGGAACGCTTCATCTCTGTAAAGCGAGAAAGTTCGACTGATGCACGCCTGCCGAGCGTTAAGTTTCAGTCACGCGTCTGAATTTGCCGCAGCGCAATACGAAATGGAAATCCCACCTTACGTGCAAGAGTTCCTCCTCCAGCGCAGACAATGTGTACGTGTAATTAACTCTTATCTTGATCATAGGAATGTCGCAGATGTTCTCGCAGATTCTTACGATCTCGAAGTTCGAGTTCTTGTAAGTGTCGATAAACTCCTGAAACTGCGGAGCGAACAAATAATCTCACGTCTTCGTTAGTAAAGGAACAGTTTGTTCTTTATCAATTTTGCATTTTAGTGCGCATCGCAGCTCAGAGAAAATAGAATAAAAAATAAAAATTATTGGCGTCTTCGAAAGAAATCAATGGATATTCAGCTCAGTATTATTGAGCTCAATATCTTGTGTGTTCTTAGACACGCGCTAATTCATCCTATATAACCGACATCATAATTATTCCGTTTCTGCGTTACATGGGATCCGTAATTAATTGTTCAAACGCAAGCGGATAGCGTGCGGGCTTCTCTCCACTCTCTCTCGCGGGCAGTCCAAAATTAAATTTTACCGCGTGGCGCCGTACATATTGCATAAATTTATACGGACTTCGCACGTAGACGAGGTAAGAGACTGTAAACGTACATTGGCCGTTTCGTTGAAACAATTCTCAATGTATACGTCCACGTAATCCGTGTTCCACGTCAGCTTGGTTAAGCCGGGATTGATCTTCCGGTCGAGCTGCCGAATTAATTCGCGAAACAGCGCACGTTCTGTCAGCGACAATGCTGAAAAATAGAAGTTCCGCTACGTTACAGGAATATCTCACTACTACTGTAAAAAGGGGGAGGGAAACATCATCACGTGTGACTGCAAATACGGGGTATGTCACTTTCATTGCGCGTATTACGGGCACTGTGCGCTGTTCGAATCGTGTCATCATGATATTTGCATAAGTACGTGCATTTTAATTAGAGTACTTTTTCAACATAGCTGAAGACAAGCAAATTTACTGTAAATTTTTGTGTGAATTATATTGTCACAGATATTTTAATAGTTATAAAATGGAATGATATAACGTATAAAACAAGTTGCAGAAAATAATTTCATTAATTTCGTATAATTTTTTAATTACAATTTAAATATTTGGTAGTTGTATATTGTATTGAAAAAATATATATATTAAAAAAAGTAATTTAAAAATAATTAAAAACCCGTCTGTGTGTGTGTATTTTTGTTAATTTGCATCTTTGATTCTTGTCGCAGAACTGTTTAAAATGTTTCAAGTTTTGTATATCATTGATAGTATTTAAAAAGGAACTTTTTTCACTATTATTATATTTTACAAACTATTTTTTATTACTATTTAGCAAGCAATTATTGAAAACAGCGAACCTTCGATAATCTTGTTGTATGCGAGCGTGACGGCGAGGACACTCTCGTATATGAAATGCAGTGTGCTCCACTTGTCGTATATCAATTGTATATGCACGGGTATATTGAATCTCAAGTTGATCCAGTAGGAACACTCGCGGCATAGATTCAGAATATTCCGATCGATATTACACTCCAGTAGGCCGGATTTACTATCGCTCCGCCGCATCAGGAAGCGGTCGAGTCGCGCGCGCGGATTTTCACCGACATCGTGCAGCCATTTTGTGTATAGATCCTTCATAGAGTCCCCGATGGATCTGATCACGATGTCTTCCTGATGATAGATCTCCTCGCTCATGCCGCAATAGGGCATCCACTCGGCCTCCTCTAACATCCTTCGCGTCGATAGCAGGCGGTCACCTTTCAGACGAAGATTCAACGCTCTGCCAGCGTAGTACGGAGTGATTGAAGGATATTCTTCCCTCTCGTGCAGGACCTCCTGCTTTGTCCGTTGAATATCGTTGGCAAAAATCTGCCATATCTGAGCGGAAATATTAAAAGTTGCTAGCTGCTTTCGAATCTCATTTATCTCGTTTTTCAGTAATTTATATAAAATAATTTATTTAAATATTTGAAAGCAAACAGTGGCATAAATGAGTAAAAATAGAATGTTGACATAAATTTTCTTTCTTAAAATATCAGAATTTGTTTTCTATAAAATTTTCTTACGAGTCTTTTTGTCAAGAGCTCATTTCATCTTCATAAAATTTTTAAACGTTTTATTTTAGGTTTTGAAACGCGATCAGAATTATTATATATTAATTCTTTGCTAAAAACCATTTTTGTGTACATATCATTAATATTTCCTTACACTGGTATTCTTGTTCTCAAACAACGGCTTCAAATTCTCACGATTAAGATAATTGTAGAAGCTCCGCAAATTTTCGATCCCCTCCTGAACGTTATTAACGTTCATGAAGACAGAGGCTACTAAGTTTTCGATCATTATCTCGAAATCCCTCATTTCGGAGCGAAATTCGAGCATATTATCACGCCATGTAGAATCGCGAACAGCGAACATTTTGTGAGAATTTGCTTTAATTCTGTGTAAAGCTTCGTAAAAAAGTCTTTCGATCTTCTGACATACTCTTTCGTGTTCTTCGCCATTTGTACCACTGAATTTAGGGCTTGAAATCTCAGTGATCTCGTCTAACCTGCTTTAAAAAGTCATGCTGTAATTCACAAATATTACTATACTATATTTGTACGTACAAATGCAAAATTGGAATATAGCTAGTTTTCAAATTCTATATATAGCAAAATTTAAAACTGAGACATCAATAATATAATAATTTGTGATAATTATTTAATAATAGCAATCATCAAATAAAAATTCTGTAAAAAATAAAACAAAAAGTGAAAAAAAAAGACATATATTTATGTTTATCCGACAAAGAGAAAGAATAAATTTTGTATGCATAACAGCTAAAATTGAAAAACACTTGACTGACAATCTTCTTAGTAACAAAAATAAAAAGTAAAAAAAAATAGAGATACGTAGTGCATTTTTATCTCTCTCTCGTTGCTATCCTGTATATTATTTGAACCTTGCAAAATCAATCATTGCTTGACAAATCTCGATCATATTCTGACACCTGCCGATGAAAATGTCGATGTAACGAAATATGCTCTCCGTGTCTAAATCCCAAGGGTGGCGCGTGAGATTGATATGAGCGTTCGCGATCTGTAAATTGTAAAACAAAATATATCAAAAAGAGTTTCTTTCGTTGAGAACAGATCGCATCATTTGATGAACAGTGCGGATTAAAATGTTGTCGAAACCTCTATCTTAAAAAATAAGTCGTGCTCTTTTAATTTAAAATAGATTATTTTACTTAACTTTGATTACACAAAGTTTCTGAGCCGACTTTCAAGTAATATTTTAAGCGATGTTTAAACATGCGGACGGTGAAAACCACACGCGTTAGCGACCCATGAAAGTATATAACGCGATTGCACAGATTTCTACACGAGAATCTAAGAAGTCGTGTCACCTATCCCTTCGGGCACATGGCGCTCTAACCCCTAGCGCAACTCGAGAACAAGTAGTCAGGAGAGCCGTCACACCGTTTCTCAATTCCCACCTCTATTCTGGTTTATCTGCCCACGGGAAAAAGTCGGTGTTATATTGCAATCTCCACTTAAAGTGAAAGCCTCCTTTCAACCTGCACTTTTGTACTTTTAAACAGCGTTACTTGAGACAGATTATTATTTCGTTTCCCGGACTGATTTTATTAGAAAAACAATTACTTATTTCGTTTTAGATTCGCAGAAAATCATTAGCGATGACAACTTGCGGCTAACTCGCAAGTAGATAGTCGTGTTCTAACCGGTGCGCGCTAGGTACATTTTGAAGCCCTAATCACAATTACCGCTGAAAACCAAAATCACTTTGCAACTTTCGCATTAATGGCGGAATTCATCCCCGCGTTGTCCGACAAGAGGTCTAAGTAGCTAAAGTAGCTGTGCACACATAATTTAATGGAAGTTTAACTCACCGGCTGGAAGGTGAATTTGCAGACAGCATAAAGCACTACATTTTATACAACGCTTTTCGTTGTATACGGTCACAAACGGCTTTTGAGCTCACAAGTACTTTAGAGAAACGTACTTTTACTTATTAATTATTAAAACAAATGTATGCAAAGTTTGTGAGGCTGCATGAATATCTCATCAGTATAATTATTGCGGAGTAAAGTTTAATTTGTCAAGTTAATCAAAGTTAATATCTTAAAATTCTATTAAATACAAAATATTTTGTTAATTTAAGCAAACGGAAGTTTTAAACTTAATTAAGTTTTGAATAGAACAGTTACGTCTTAAAAAAAGAGTGCGTACACTATGTATGAATAATTAATGTTGCTTTACAGTTTTATATAAGTTTACAATAAACTTTGCAGGATATCTTATAGGATGCTTTATGTTTCTGTATTGTTTTTATCTATCAAATATATGTTACTGAAAGTTTGACAGAGTAATAGATTGTACTATGTTAAAACTTACTTTGTAGTAGAAAGTTTTATAGTTCTCGCACAGTTTGATACACTCGTCAAGGACCTTCATGCTCTTTCTAGTTTTTCCCGCAAATACTTCTGCCAGATCGATAAAGTCCTTGCACATGACGACGACCTGGTTGCTGAACGCGTTGAAGAGATTGTTTATCCTCTCGCGAGTATTGTAATAGGGCGAGTTGAGCCAAATCGTCCTGAAGAGATGCATCATTTTTGGCAGATATTGAGCCACGCTCGCAGGAGTCGCGCAAGTCTTCAACTCGGCGCAAGTGTCCTTCAAAATGCTCAGAAACTCGATGTTCGATTTCGCTTCGGCTATGCCGTGCTCGATTTCCTCCTTCAACATCTGGAATTGGCGCACGTAAGTGGACTGTGCAGCCAATAATATGTCGATAATGAGCGCCACCGTGTTATTATGCAGCTGGTATTCCAAGCCGCAGAGGTTGTCATCTGAGTAGAAAATTTCGCATATTAAATCAAAGCAATTACGTCGATGGCTTTTTTTTCAAAATCAGTCTTCTCAACATTTCAAAATCCAAATCAGATTAGCTCGCTTGTATCCGCAAAACGGATAAAACGCGCAAGAGCTCCACGCTTATGAACTCCATGAATGTCGTATGATTGAGAGAGAAAGAAAGCTTATAAACGATATTAAGTTTCTTCATAACTCTGTAAGGCACCCGTGACAAAGGGATCCCGCTAAAACGTCGCATTAGAGGAAACTTTCTTCCCTCTCCTGGAAAATCCCCGGACATATATTATCGAGAAACGATTCTATCCTTGCAACCCACTATGTCTCTCTCTCTCTCTCTCTCTCTCTCTCTCTCTCTCTCTCTCTCTCTCTCTCTCTCTCTCTCTCTCAGGAGTAAGCACTTACATCGATAAGTCCAGAAGTCATATTCGTCGTCGAGGTGCAGTAACTCGTGCGTCGTCGAATTTTGGTCAGAGAGGGCTATTTTGATTTGGGTGTTCCAGTGCGCCACCACACCCTCCAGCCTCTTCACCAACTCCTTATCGGCGCCGTTCTCCTCCGCGGTGAACTCCCTACTCTCCAGAGGTACATATATCACGGTTAAGCCCAGCATTTTGTACGTGAGGTCCGTTAAATTGCACAGGAAGGTGTCCAGTTTGGTGCAGAAGTCCGCTTTCACACATGTGTTTCGGCGCGATTAAGGAAAAGGAAAATCCAGGAACGTGATACGGCGCCGTACCTCGTTACCGTCCGTTTCTCGATACGACCATTTTTTATACCGTTCGGGGCCGTTGCCCTCTTCGACGTCTATCACATAGAATTGTAGCCTGTGTCCTCGCTACACGTCCGCTGATGGAGATTTATTGAACCGAATTGCTCACTGTGTATATCGAAATGATCGACTACATTGTCACATCAATTTACAATTGAAGCGTGCGATTGCGCGTCTTCGGTCGAATGCGAAAAATTGGGAGGAGCGAAACCGCGACGGCTTTGTAATTAAATTTCTGCTCTATTCAAAATCTGAAAATTGCGTCGTATATTTTTCACTATTATTACAGGTGCATGCGAAAATTGTTAAAGCCATCATCAATCGAACGCATACATTTTTTTTATAAATATTGTTTGTAAAGGATATGATATTAACTGTGAGTGCGCAGTGGTGAGATTAAAAACTCAAGTTCTGTATCGCAAGACGAGTCAACGATCGCCGCGTACACGAGGGAGAGATAAAATAAAAATGCGACGCGACCGGAGTTGCTGGATGTCCTGACACAATTAGCGGAGCGACGCTTCGATCCGGTTAAAATCCGTTCACGATCCATTAGAAATAATGAAGTGGCTCCCGTCCGAATGCAATGCAATGCAATCGTTTCTAACTCGACAGCGGAGTAATCCCGTTCATGTACGTGGGCAAACATCGACGCTGGATTTACCAGCGGCGGTGAGTTGTGCAGTGCATTTAGCCGAAAATTATGGTAATAATAACTTCGCGCAATTCCCCGGCGTCCTCGCCCCTTTACTTTCCCGTCCTTTCCCGGGCGGACCGGGGGGACCGGAACTTTGTGTCGTGCGTTGCGGTAACGGGATTGCAGCGCTAAAGTTGGAAATTCAGTTGGTAATGTCATCACGTTAGATTGTTATGACCTTAAGCCGGGGCAACCATGGACGATCGCGATGATCGCCCTTGGCATTGCGAGATCGGTCCACCATAGCTCCTTTATCACGGCTGTCGATTGAAACTACAGGCCCTTATCAATCGATCTGTATATGCATATAGGATTATCATTCGGCGTATAACCGATTATCATTCGGCGTACAGCCTGACATACGATTGACATCTGAATTAGGGATTATCTGACCGCATCTGAACCGCGAGAGACACATGGATTAAATTTATTTAAAAAATAGATGTTATAATTATTATCACAGATATTAAATACCTCTAAAAAGATTGAGAGTATTATTAATAGGAGAATATATTAATTATCTATGCAATCTCTAGTCTAAATACACAAAGGGCAGAAATCAAGCAGTAAAGTCGACTGTGGCGGAGTATCCAGAAATCCAATTGCTTTGATTGGATTGAAATTGCTTCGTAGGAAAAAAAATCGATCATATGTCAGTATACAGATATATCGGATTGAATCACGGATTCGCTGCGGGAGATAAAACACGCGATGTCTCCCCTGGGTGTCCTTCGCCGGCGTAGCTTTTTAAACGTACATTTAAATCCGCGAAAAACTTTAAATCACCGCCGACTGCAAAATCAACCGGTCGCGAGGCGGGATTTGAAAGTTAAACAGAATTTACATCGCGGAGGCCGAGGCAAGTGGGTCACTCGGGGAGCCGCGAGAAGACCGACGGGACGTCGTGTCTGGACCCAATTAAAGTTCCGTAACTCGCGATCTGTACACGTACATTATTTGCTGGAACGAAACAAAAAAAAAAAGTGGAAGGGGAGCGAGAAAGCGGCGGAAAAACTTCGTGAATCTTTGCCCGTCAATGTCTGTCGTTATACAGTCGACGCTCCATCCTGCAAATTCGTGCCGCTCTCGCGAAAGTTTTTGCGTTAATTACGTGAATTAATTGCCTGGTTTGACGGAGGGAGGCGATGCAATAATAGAGAGAGCAAAGGATACTGTCGGGCCAGGTCTCGATCGTGAAGAAAATCGGCGCAAACACATTCTCGATAACGCCCAGTATGTGACTCTCCACCTTGTCGTTCATCGACCCGAAGAGAATGCGTTCGCGAAAGTTCTCCGGATGGAGAATCTCGTTCGGCTCTCTCACGAAGTAGGTTAGCTCGTGCACCGGCGTCGTAGGAAATGAAAATTCTGTGGTCAGAATGCCGTTCACGTGATAGACGCAGAGGACCGGAATGCTTGGGTCGCGGAAGAACTCGCGGACGTCCACGTCACATTTCCACGTCCAATCGTCGTCCGTCAGACCGCTCAGCGTCGTCATGTCCTTAACGCATTGAATCTGTGAAAGGGTATTATATTTTTCGATATTCCTGCTCTCAGTTCGAATTGAATTAATTTTCATTTCTTAACATTATTCATGACTTGTTTTCGGAAGTATTATATTTGTTTTAATAAATATGGAATTTAATTCCTATTTATTAAAATGTAATTATTTGCTCACATTTAATTTAACTCGCAATCCTTATACATTTTTCTAGAATAAATTCTAGAATAAACGCCATAGGCAGCGGCGTTCCGTAAATATGTGAAAATATTATTTAATCTCGAAATTTTATAGCTCGTGTAAATTAAATGCAGACAAGACACATTAATTCGCCTCGCGCGCGCTCACCAATTCATTTAATTCATCCGTTTCGTATATCGGTCGCAGGGCCTCGTATTCCTCGACTATACCTGCAACAATGTTTATCCCGCTTGATAATCTCCGTCGTAGATTGCGGACGATGCCGCGATTGCTTCGTCGACGTGGATTCTGAAAATGAGATCTGATCTCCCCGCACATTGTGACGCGTATATTGTCTCGTTGAAAGAAGCGACGTCGTAACTAATACGGAACGTTGGAAAGAGGAAACAAATTCCACGGGACACGCCGGCCGTTCGTTAGTCGTCAAATAGAAGAGCGCGACGGATCCTCCTAAATCCGCCAGGCGGGTTAAATAGAAGACATTCGTTCTAAGAGGAGAACTCTCATTCGTCCCGATATCATTCCTCAGGCCTCTTCGCCGTACCGATCCCATCCCGGGTCATTGCCGCCGCCAGTTCGCCATCCGTGCCTTTGCTCTTGGCAATCTAATAGGAACTATAAATCGCAAGTAGCTAGTAAATCGACGGAAGAGGAAACACGTCGCGTCGCGATCGAGACGCTACCGTACGGCCACGTCGGCACGATTTATTTCGCTATGATAGCGGACATTATGCAGATACGACGACGTCTTCTTTCGTGGCATACCGCGGCTTATCAATCTTACGTCTACACTTTTCACCGCGCAGACTATCGCTAGTAGTAAAATTGTTAAATGTTATTTGGTACGCAGATTATAAATTATAATTAATAATTAGCTTCCGCGAGCTAATTATTAATTATAATTTATGATAGATTCATGTTTAATCATTAAGACTTGTGGAAACAAATTAGATGCATATTAATTTTATGTGAAATATCATACATATATATTAAATAATTTTAAAACGAATATATTGGGTTGTGTAATGAGTAATTTCGGATTTTTAAAATAAATTTGTTCACTTTTTTTTCTTGGGCAAAGTGTAGTTTAATTAAGATGTAAATTAGATATTCGTTTGTCGAAGTTGTAATCAAGTTCCGCCCGTGTCATGATTTTTTCACGTTGCGTATAAAAACGTGTTTAAAAACAATAAGATCATTTATTAAAAAAATACGAAATAACTTGTTACATAAATTTTCAAAATTTTATATCAATTTTTAAAATACAATTAATAATATATTATAAATTAAACGGAATAAAAAAATATTGGAATACTGCCATTTAATTTTCCTTCGTCTTTTTTGATGTAAATACAATGAACAAATACTATTCTGCAAATAATTGAATCTACACGTTCTGAATTAATGTGAAATCAGATAAAGCATTTTACTGCGACCAAACAAGGATGAAATCGCCATCCTTCATCCCCACGTAACGTGACGTTAATTGTTTGCGGATTACGGATTCGTAGATTTCACCATTCCTCCGCATCCGTGTTCCCGATGAAGAATAGATTCTGGGTAATAATGTTAGTTCGCGTTCGGCTAGATAGACGTAGGTAGCTTGCATATAGATTATCGGTTTATCTAGTTCACCTACTTTCGGACCGGTACTTTCGTACAAGTACCATGAGAACTCGCGGTGGAGGACGAATTAGGTTCATTTTCCAGCGCGCGGCGGCTGCGATCGAGGTCGAAGGGTAAATTGCCATAATCCCGGGGACAAATTAGGAACCGGGCAACAGCGCGGAATCTGCGAATGACCGATTAATCGCGGCAAGTGGCCGGCTCACATGCACTATATATCACATTTATTGAAATAGAGAAATCCGGCCTCTGTTAATACCAAGAGTACTCTCGATGCGCGATCATACATTCATCACATCTCTTTCGTCTTTAAAGTTGTATAAAGTGGAATTTATGGTTGCCAAATGCGCCCGCGAGAGCATATAAAGCAGCCATTGTAATTGCAAATTGGACGCGACCATCGTCGAATCCGCGTTTCAAATTCGAGCGTGTCGTTGCCGAGTGAACTTGCTTCAAATTAGCCGCATTATGGTTAACGCGGTTATTATTTGCTGCCTTGTTAATATTTGCACAAGTATCGAGGAAATTATGACTCGCCGTAACGACTCGCGCAAACTGGAAAATGAATTAAATAAACCCTTCCTGCTTAATTAATCAACGCCGCGCGCTGCAACGAAATATTCAAATATTTATCAGTTATACGTATCAATCACAAATACTGCGTGCAGCGCGGTAACAAAATACACATATCATGATTTGTGGTTATTCGAAAAAGATGGAGGTTAAAACAAAGCGGATAACAATCTCGCTATTGAAAATAAACCGTCGTCGAAAATGAAAGTATTTCATGTTTCTCTCGCGAATATTACACGCGTCACGAGTCCGGCTCTGTCATGTTGTCTTTAGGTTTTAACAGAGAAACTAGAGAAGGCTGCGCGGCGAGATTGTGCGAAACAGAGATTGGAAACGGTGGGCTCGGAGTGTCGAAAATAGGACAGGCGGAGTGAAGAAGCAGTGAGTCGAGCAAGGAACGGAAAATCGGGAGAGTTGAGACGGGGCTGTGTGGGTTGTGTTTAATATTTTTCTCGTAAATCTTACTGCGCCTTTCCGCTTCATCGCTGGACTCGGCGTCCAAGTACTCTCGGCGCGGGTCCGGGGGCGGCTTATCTTTAACTTTATTTCTCCGTCTTTGCATTTTATTGACGGGGTGGCCTGCCGGCGTCGTCACCTCTCTCTCACACGAGTCTGTGCAGTTGATTTATGCGCCCGGTCCGACTGTTACGGCACCGAATCTTTCAGCGTTTTCGCCGTAGATATCCTGAAGCACCGCCGCGAAGTTGCCCGAGAGCAAAGAGAAGTGGTCTCGGCAGTAGATCGGCTTTTGGGCCGATCGCTCGTTGTCAAAAAGGTTCTCAATATTTTACAAAAAAAAATTTTTGTCGCTGCTATTTATTCAATCACAGTTAAAGATGAGGAATCACTGCAAAATATATAATATTTATGAAATATTTTTTATCATTTCTCTAGTTTTTTATTTTTTATACCTTCATTACATAATGATGGCAAATCGTTATCTTTTGTTATTTAGTAACATCTGAGATAAGTTATTAATGCAGCGATTTTATTAAGGCTAACGTTTTATGTAGAAAATGCTATATTATTATTAATTTTATATATTACTTTTATATCTTTCATTGAACATCGTAATAAATATCTATTAAGTTATCTCTTTAGAAAGCTACTGTAAACTTTCCACTTTGTTGCCTACATCACTCATTCTGGTGAGTAAATCGCGGAACTTCATTGTAGCCGCATATTTGTTAAAATTACGTGCGTCACTTCTCGTTTCAAAGCCTCTATTTTATTTTATCGGAAAATAATCATGTGCTTTTTGCAAGGCTTTTTTTAACAAGATACAAATTTTGGGTACAATAAAATTTGCTGCAGCTTTATGTGTTAAAATATTTAATAATATAACAATAGTAATATCTCATTATAATATCTATGATATTATTATTAAACAATTTTTTATATACTAATTGATTTTTATTTCGGTCGTCATATGCAACTCTGTCTTAATAATATAAAAAGGAATATTTCTTATTTTTAATTTTGTATTTTTAGAGATCATTTTTAGAGACACTAGAAATAATAAAACAGAAAGTAATAAAAGTTAGAAAAACTTGGATAAAAAAATGTAATTTGAAAGCAGCAATATTAACAAGGTGTCATATAGAAATTTTATTTGTAAATAAATAAAAATTATCGTACGCGTTCTTACAGATATCTAAATTTTAAATATATCGTTACTGAAAATTTCTTTAATAAATTCACGAAATGCGGTTTAAAATGAGGAATATAAGCAAGGACACATGAGACTCACTAATTATTAATATTACTAATTGCTATTTTTAATAAAAATTACTGGTTTTCTGAATAAATTCAACTTTGTCGACATAATGATAATATCAACTTTCATTTCTTTCGTCTAACATATTAATTATTATTTACTTATATGCTTGCATCGGTATTTAAAAAATTAATCATACACAATCTTTGTGGATGAAGTGAGAATGTTTGCAGTCAGCAAATACGAAAGAAAATAGTTGTTGATATTTGTAGTTTTTTTTTTAATTTTTATATGTTTATATTCTAATAAAAACTATGGTAAATATAAAAAAAAAACATCTACAATATGATTTCTGTGTATCGCCGCAAGGTGTGTGAATAAAATGTTTTTTTTTTCTTTTTAAAAAAATAATAATGGATATTTATAATTATTCTGAAATGTAAAACTCACACATTTAGCTTGCAGTCTCTTTTACTTTCTGGGCAAATCATAAATCCAACTATTTTTTGCCGTGGTTCTTTGATGCAGCAACGATGAACCGTGTATATGAAAATGTTGTAAAATATTGACTGCTCGAATGTCGCACGGACGAAATATCCTGCTTCGGTTGCACGAGTCATGTTCACTGGTACGTAGTCCTGTGTAGCGCATAGAGCGTCCATCGCGGACATCCGGTTAGATGGACGAACGGACGAAAGGAGAAATTGCACTGGTCGATTATGGAAGGGGCAGGTCGATGGAACGAGATTAAAAGAGGCGAAGCTACAAGATTAAAAGGCAAAGCGGGGGACCTACTCCGAATTGAACGGCATCGGTTGGCTGCTCGCGGAGACATTTACATTCCCGGGAAATCGTTATTGACCGATCAGAGAACTTGAATGGCTTTGTCGTGCCATTCTTCCCTTTCTTTATTTCGCGCACTCTTCCTCTGGAAGGAAACGAGACAGCGCGTGAACATCGACATCTGTCTCGTCAAGGGAAGGGTTCGTCGCAATATCTTCGCACACGCGCGATTGCAATCAAAAGGCGTAATTGTCATCCGAGCGTAAATGTTTTGTGAGGTCGATTTTGTACGGTATTCCGCAGCTTTTCAACGCTAGCAGTTTTTCGTACACAATAGAAAAAAAATATAAACGTGTAAAATATGATTCATTATATAAATAGCAGAGCATAAAAATTCAAATCTTTATATTCGTAAAATAGACATTTAGTACTAGATGTAGTTTTGATCAGGAATAAGAAAATGTTTGCAATGTTTTTCGAAAACGAAGGATTTACAATAGGAAGCATTCC